AAGTGACAGGGCTACAACTTGTGATTCCTGCCTTACTTTATTCTTCTGTCTTCAAATATGAATATGACACATTGGCTCTAATCTGTGACAGGCATTGCTCATAAGGCAAAACACTGTTTTCCCAAAAGAGTCTATCAGCAGGAGGCACCAAGAGGGGAGCCTGTTACCCTCCAGTGCACCACTGCGAAATTCCCTAGTTCAGGAGCACCACATCAAAACACACAGTTATCTCCTGTCCAAACATTTTCAGCATTGGAAGATGGATTTTTAAGGAGCTTCTATGGTCATGTGTTGGACATAAGATACAACAGTATCCATTCTGGTTATCTCCAAAGCTGTTTGGAAATCTCCTTCAACTTATCCCTCAGACCCAAGGGATGAGACCATGACTGATACCTACTGAGTTGTGGACTATGTGCCCTTAATGGACATAGGGCAGGATGGTGGCTGGAGAAAGCTTCTGGTAGAATCTGGTGCTAAGGCTGGTTCAAACAATGCAACGAGCTTAATTTCAATGCAAAGGTGGTAAGTGGTAAAGAACCAGTGTGCAAGTTCTTCCTCAACTTTCCTTCCTGGATACTGGTGTCACACAGAAACATGACATGGTTGGTATGCCCCTACACCACAACTGTTACCTTCAGGGCATTTGCAGCTGGTGTAAATCAGAACAGTTCTTGGGCCATTTTAACTTCATGCAATGAGATCTCTTCTGTCCCCATGTAGCAGCAGGATTAGGTGAGTGCAGACATAATCCTGAAGCCATCTTTATTCAAAGACCTTTGACCTTCAACCTCTGTCCCACTTTATTTGAGGATTTTTACTCAGTCTCTTCCCCCCGTTCCCATTTTACCTCTTGCATTGGAGAGCTCCCTTTATAAAGTGATATTTATTTTTATCCCTCTCTTGTTTGCTGCTTACCCTTTGAAGGCTCCAACTTTGTAATTATATTTGAATTTATAATTACTTTTTTTTTTGCTTGGGGAAGTCTTTGCTTCTTGCTGTATGAGCTAACTAAATTGCCGGAACATAGAACTGCAAAGGGGTGTCCTAGGCCAGCAAGTCCAATCCTTTGTATTCACAGGCAGTCATTTTCCCAAAGTTTCCAAAAATCATCCATTTCAAACGTCCCCCCAAAACAACATCTACAAGGCACAAACTAGAAACACCTTAAAACATACCATAAGTAAAACAGGAGAGATGAGGGCTCTTCTGATGTTCAGCCACTGTAGTGACAAAGTAATATGCTCAATGGATTCTAGGAAGAGGACCACGGCCTGCAGAGCAGAAAAAGAAGAAAAAAATTAAAACCCAGTTCTGCCAATTTTACTAGGGAAACAAATTTCCTGACATTCAATTTGGTGATGGATTTGGCCCTGAGTAGAAGAAAAAGATCCCCTAGCCAGGAAACTGTCAGCTGTCTAACAACAGGCAGGAACATCGCTGTACCTCAGTCAAAATCCCCAGTGACAGCTGTGGCCAATTTACAGTCTAACTGTAATCATAATGTGTATGATTATGAGGACCACACAGTCTTTATTAGTATAGCTTTTGGCTTAAAAAGTTCTCTGTCTCCAACATTCACTCTGCAAATGTACAATATTTATAAAAAGTGGTATTTGTTTAACTAAGCTAAACAAGCCCAATTCCTTTTATCTTATTAAATAAAATAAGGTTTCCATCCCTGTAACCATCTTAATGGTCCTTCTTTGTCCCTGTTCCCATTTAAGTTCATCTTTCCTTCAACATAGTGACCAGAACTATAAACAGTATTCTAAATGGAGTCCTACCAATATCTTATGTACAGTGAGTAGTACTTCCCAATCGCTACTGAATAAAAAGTTGCCTAAAATACACTAAAACTGTATTAACCTTTTTCACTACTTCATCACACTGGCTGCTCACGGTCAACCTATGATCAACCAGTACACCCAGAACTGTCTTCCTCAGTTGTCTTCAGCCTATCAGCACCATCTCATAGCCAAAGTCTTTGTTGTTGTTCCATAAGTGTGTGACTTCGCATTGCCTACTATTATACTCCATACCATTCCTTGTGCTTCTCTCCACAAGAGTATATCAGTTTGCCTGTATAATCCACTTGTTTTTCCATATCAGCATTAGATGGTAATGAATTGGAACCAAACTCCATACACTGTTAAAAAAAAACAAACAACCCACCTTGTACAGACATTAGGGAAATACATAATTCTTGTCATTGTCTGAAGGAAACATTCACAAGCAGTGACTCCTGGAAGTAATGGGCATTTCTTGCCCTCCCTTACATGCAAAATGTTGTCTGTGTACCGTATTCTCTTGCATACGACACACCCCCAAATATAATACACAACTTTTTTGAAAGCCAGAACAAAGAAAAAAAGATTTTTCCAGTTATATCTGCATAGAGCAGGGACAGAGCCTAATCTTCAGGTGACTCTCTTTCTCCTGATTAACAAAAAAGCTGAAACACTAGCTACTGCAGAAAACTTGACTCCACGGGTGGATCTGTGATTTTTTTTTTAAAAGAGCTAAGTAGTCTCTAGGGCTGTGAAATAGGAGGAGAGAGACCAGGAGCAACTAGCGGATTGCAAAAAAGTCCTAAGAAATTTAGCTTGATTAATGGAACGTCAAGACTATTAAAAGGGGAGCGGATGGTTAACAACTGTGAAAAACAAATGAGCCATTAAGTCAGTTGATTCCCTTAGTGCCTGAACAGTAATTCCACAACTGCTACACACTGGCATGTCTACATGTGTGTTTTAATGCACAGTAGCCTATTTTACTGCACTTTAAAGCAGTGCATAAAGAACTGTTCAAATATGCTAATGCATAGTAAAATAGGCTACTGAGCATTAAGTATCAATTAAAAATATACCAATATTTTCTCATATTGGAGGTAATACATTTAATGTGTGTTAGGAAAAGCGTGTTAATGCATGTGTAGACATGCCCACTGTGGAGTAGGAGTCAAAGCAGGGTGCTTCCTTCTTGGTTAGAAAATCAATTTTCCTGCTCGGCCTCCCCAGTTTTGGGGGGCTGATTTTTGGAGAAAAGTTTTCTGCTGTATGTGACAAAATATTGGTATATTTTTGCTTTTTTGTCTCCCCCTTCTTTCCTCCCTGCCCATTAACCTGAGTTAAGTTTCAGGCCTATAAGATATTGTGGACTAGATGAGCATCTCTGCTTCTTTTTCTTTTCCTATGGAGGCCTTTAGTCATGACAGTCCTCATCCAGTTGTGTCCCAGAAACAAAGAGAAATAAGTATAGGGCTCAATCACAGAAAAAAAAATCCCACAACTAAGGAACTATTATCAAATACAAGGAAATATCTGTTGTATTATAGTCCTTGTTGCAATTCACACTTACTGCTTATAATTAGTTGTATGTAGTCAGAGTGAATCACCAGGTCTTTCTAACCTAATGTCTTATTCAGATACCTATTGTTAGAACCTATGGGTGCCTGTACCCGAGTGCGGAGCCTACTCTGACATGTAATTACAGCATGTCAGAGATTAATCAAGTCTGCTGGAGCATAGTAATTACCTCCTGCTTCTCATGTATCAGCATCCCGCACTTCAAAATGGCAGCAGAGGCACTTGAACTAAAGCTAATTGAATGAGCTTCTATTCAAGCACCCCCGCCATTTTGAAGTGCAGGGATGCTGATACACAAAACACTGCAGTGCTTTAATTAGAGTGGCTCTGAGCCCCCCCCCCCCAACCAGAGCACATGTAAAAGTTTCTGTCATTGAAGGCCTATAAAGAAAGTTTGATATTTTAAAACCAAAATTGGATTCAGTGTCACCTAACATTATACCACTAGAGAATATATTTCAGATGGTAAAATCAGAGGAGATGAGGAAAAGAATGGTGGTTTTAGGAAAGTGGAGCAATGCATCACAGCACTTATAGCTGTCTTTAATCACAGAAACTTCCTCTGCTCAGATAATTATGCCAGAGAGTCTGATCTCCACACTTTACTTCTACTTTCCATATCTGAAGGTAATGAACTTTTTTGCTTCTATTAGATTCACTGAAACATTTTGACTTTCCCTTCAGATATCCTTTTTTTTTTTTTTTTTTTTG